ATATATATGGGGTTATTGCAAAGAGTATTATTATGTGCAGTATTTTTGGCGAGGGGAAGAGTGTGAGAGGGAGAGAGGGAGGATGATGTTTTGGGACATGTATGAAGGAGATTGCGGGGTATGCATGGGGTTTATATACAGGGGTAAGCGGGGGAGGAGAAAGAGTTAGGTAGAGGGGGGAGGTGTGTGTTTGACAAGGAGCGCGTGAGGGATGGTGAGTTCTTATTTCAGAGAGCGCAAGACAAGATACATTCGGGAGGGGTGTGGGGGTGGGTAATTGAGATCGTTTCTGTTATTTAGAATCAGATCTCGGTAGGATATGAGTTGGGAGGCAAGGGGAGGGGGGCGGGGGAGATGACAAGAGCAAGGTAGTCATGTATCGAGAAAGGTGATACGAAAAGGGAAGAGGGTGAGTGATTTGTGTGCAGAAATAGAGTTGGGGGTGGGGGATTGGGGGGGTGATGGCATGGGCAAGGAAATGGGTAGGGAGAACTGACATTGAGGCGGGGTTTTTTACGAGGTGTGTAAGGAGTGTGATCGGGGGGAGAGAGAGGGAGAGAGAGGGATATGATAGTACGTGCTATAGTGGATTAAAGGATATATAGGGAGTGGGTAAGCAGAGCATACGCAGTTCTTGCGTATGCAATTGCAATGAGCGTGAGTGAGTGTTGGAGATGGGGAGAGAGCCAGTGAGAATTATCAGCCTTCAATCCTAAAGAACAGCGGTGGGGGGAGGAACAGAGAGAGCAGGGGAACAAGAGAAGGAGGACAGCGTGAGTGAATTAAGATATTCTAAGTAGTCATTATGTCACGCGTATACGGGGGCAGTCGAATGTAAATCCAGGTTAGATTACGAGAGGATTGCAAAACGCGGTTCTGGGTGTGTGTGTGTGCGTGGGGAGTGCTTGAGTTATACAGGTCTTGTATTTTAGTAGGAGTGTGCTAGTATCTCCTTCGGAAATATGTGAAACATCAAGGGGTTATTTCTAAACATAGGGGCTAAGGCTTGTTAGAGGTTTACGATTATGTGTTATAGCCTAGTGCACGTGTGTGCTTGAGTGGGGAGCGAAAACTATTAAAGGGTAACCGCGAAGGCACGGGTGGTTGGGAGGGTATGTGATAGCTCAAGAAGGGTACGGGGAGAGAGAAGAAGGGGCAAGCATTGGTGATAAACAAATAATGGAAGGGGAACATCAGATCTCAGAAAGTAGCATTGGGAGTGGAGGGCAAGGGGAGGCGGGTGGGAAACAACGTAGTGAGTACAACGACAACATTCAAATATGGGTTTTGGTAAGCATGTGTAGAAATGGTGTTGGGGGTGGGGGATCGGGGGGAGGGGGGCGGCCCAGTGTGAATGCGTGAGTGTTGGGGGGAGGAAATTTGGGCGGAGTGGTGTAAAATTTAAGTGATGGAATAGACGAGGATATGGGTAGGGCGAACTGATACTTGTGGAATGGATGTATAAAAGATGTGAAAAGGAGCGAGAGGGGGAGGGGGAGAGTGAGAGCTAAAACTTAGATGGTTTATTGAGTGTTGGATGAGATTAAGGGATGTATAAGGAATTTGTAAGCAGAACATGCCTTGAACTTGCATACCCAATTGGAACAAGGACAGCTACACAGCATGTGCGAACCAGGAAGTTTCTACTCGTGCTAGTGACTGTGGTATGCAAAAACACGTTAAAGAGGTCAGCAGGAGGGATTAACCCCTGCATTGCGACAGGACGATTGTCCGATGTATGTGTGAAAAGTGCATCATGCAACCATAGCAACCCGAGAATAGAGAACCTCCATTTGTTTTGCATTCATGAGTCCACAAGCAACGTTAGAAACATACCTTAGTTGCCTTGGTGTTGTAACCACTCTCCATGTTATTGTTCGACGGGTGTCGCAATAAAGGCAAGGGAAGGAGAGATCGAGAGAGAGCGAGGGAGAGGGAGCGAGAGAGAGAGAGAGAGAGGGGGGGGAGCACGATGGTCAATGCCATCAGACACTAGCAGGGCTAGTGGAGGAGGGGTGGCGCATCCCCTAAAGCGCTTTTCGCCGCTTGCGCCGGTCACGGCTCATCAGAGGGTGGTATTCCTCTAGCTCCCATATAGAGTGACAGGGCATAGTGGTCAGATATGAGCAGCGGGTTAAGTAGTAATTACTTACCATGTGCTCGTTGGCATCCACTTCGGCGAGAAAATCATCCATGGCAGTCATCTCTTAAACCACAAACTCTTGCAGGAGTACGCCCACTGTGGTCGCAGTGTCAGGTTTTTCAACCCGAGTTCTTTCGAACACGGTTACTAAAGATCCGTATGTCCACCGAGGTGGGTTACAGAAAGCATGGAGATGATGAGGGGAGACGAGAGAAGAGAGAGGAGGAGAGAGGACCCTCCTTTCTCAGGTGGCTATGGAGGGTGGAGGAGTTCCACTCTCAGCACCGAGTCTGAGGGCGTAGCGGGGATGAGAGGATCGGAAGAGGAAGAGGAAGCGCATGGACTGCAGTTGTCGCCAACAGTGGGAGTCTTAGCGCTAAGGCATATAGAGCCCCATTGGCCGACTTTAAAGGAAGATAGGAGTGCATACATCGTGCTGAATGTAGTGGTCGATGTGCTTGAGGTAGGATGCAGAAGGAGAAGGGAGGGGAATTCTTGGTTTGCCAGAAAGTGGGTTGAGCGCGCCCGTGAGGTATAGTTTAGCATGGGAGGTTGGGATGGGGGGAAGGGGATTATTTCCGAGGCATTTGGGGGACGGGGGTGTATCATGCACGTTTGAGGTGTGGAGGAGTGATGTCGGTGGTGTGGGGATGTATCAGTGCACGTGTGCTGAGCTTGGACGTGCAGGGTGATGGCGGGAGTACAAGCATGTGTACATGGTGTACGTTTTGCGTACTGTGTAGCATGTGCGGTGTTTGTTCGGACATGCGGAGAATTGTGTACGGTAGTGGAGTCAGTAGCGTGTCTTTCGGGGTGAGGAGGGTGTGCGGAGCAATGTCGATAGTGGAGGGAATCGTCAGTGCCGTTCCAAGAGTTTGGGTCTGTTTTGTCGTTGGTGGGTGGACTTAGTGTTTTTGTGTAATTAGTTTGACTTTTAATTGGTAGTTCTTTTTTAGCGTTTTTTTTTTTTTAAGGTAGGGAGGCCGGGTGGCGGGATTATGTGGAGGGTTTTTTTTTGTCCTGGGTTGTTTGTCCGTTTGTGGCTGTTTGGGGTGAGGTCGGTGTGTTGCCTTGAGTTACAGACAAGTTGCCTATGGCCAAGACTGGCTATCCGTGTGCATGTTTATTCAGGGGATTTGTGCGGTTTTTTTTTTATATATAATATACATGTATATATGTATGGTGATTTATTGTTATTTCTTAGCGTATGTGTTTGGATTAGGGCTTTATGTTAAGTGGTGGGAGCTATGGTGGTTTTTTTTTTTGTGTATGTGTGTGTGTGTGCGTGTGTGTGTGTGTATGGTAATGGAGTCAGTAGCGTGTCTTTCGGGGTGTGGAGGGTGTGCGGAGAAATGTCGATAGTGGAGGGAATCGTCAATGTCGTTCCAAGAGTTTGGGTCTGTTTTGTCGTTGGTGAGTGGACTTAGTGTTTTTGTGTAATTAGTTCTGCTTTTAATTGGTAATTCTTTTTTAGCGTTTTTTTTTTTAAGGTAGAGGTCGGGTGGCAGGATTATGTGGAGGGTTTTTTTTTGTCCTGGGTTGTTCGTCCGTTTGTGGCTGTTTGGGGTGAGGTTGGTGTGTTGCCTTGAGTTACAGGCCAGCTGCCTCTGGCCAAGACTGGCCATCCGTGTGCATGTTTATTCAGGGGATTTATGCATTTTTTTTTTAATATAATATATATATATATGTATGGTGATTTATTGTTATTTTTTAGCATATGTGTCTGTATCAGGGCTTTATGTTAAGTGGTGGGAACTATGGTGTTTTTTTTTTTTTTTTATATGTGTGTGTGTGCGTGTGTGTGTGTGTGTGTGT